AGCGAATCTGTTGAGCATTTTTTCCTGGTCAATCACCCGAATAACTATCTTACACATCGGGTGAGTTCCTCTTGCATTTGTTTTAATAATAATGATAATATCTTCTTCTACTTTTTTACTATTCTACTACCTACTTCCCACCAAAGATTTAAATAGCGGTTGGATAGCGGTATAGTGGCCGCTATTCCGCGGTCGTGCCACTATCCAGCACCGCTATTGAAGAAAAACCGAGGGAGAATTTGAATTTCATTTATAGCGGATGTATCGTGGCCGTGAATTGCGGCGTAACGTTGAATAGCGGCAATAATAGTCCGCTATTGTCCGCTATTCTGTTTTTCATTCAAAAATTTAAGAAAAAAATTTTCATTTGATTTTGTTTAAAAACTTAAAATAAAAACAGTAAGAAAGAAAATAAATATCAATTTACAAATTCAGAAAAAAAAAAAAAAACCCACAAAACTTAAACTTTGAAAAATATCAATTCTTTCATATTCAACTTCAATTAAGATCAAGTATATGCAGTGCTTGCCATACTGCTCGGTGAGTTAAGTAATTAATTCAGCACTCAAATTACTTTTTTTTTAATTTTCAAATTTGCCGTGATTTTGTGTGTTTGGGATTGGATTGGTCTATGTTACATTGGTAGAAGGGGGCAGGAGTTGCTGGGACTTAAAATGAGAGACAAGAGATGAGAGTGAGACTTGAGGTTGACGGAGACGAGCAGATAACATACACTAGAAAAAAAAGAACTAAGAGATGGGGATGAGGATGAAGGTTTGGAGAAAAAAATTATTGAATACAAGGTAAGGGGATGAGAAGTTGTGTGGGTTTGTGTAATTTAGTCAAGAGGTAGAGGAAGTAGACTTGAGGCTATTGTTGTTGAAGGTTGCCCACAGCATGGAGGCTGCTAAGTTTGATTTACTATAAGCCCATAAAAAGCAATTCTCTTGGCCCATAAATAGTAATGCTCTTACTTAATTTATGGATATCTAATCGCTTATTATTTGATTTATGCATAATATAGTTCAGTAATAATTTGATGTGTACGGTAATTAAATAATTAAATATATCATTCGTTATGATTATTTATTTTTTTATATATTTATTTATCCCTTGTTATTTTCTAACTGTCATATGAATAATTTTTTAAATATGAATATTTTATTATAAATTTTTTTCTTAAATAAATAAAACACATGATATGATATAAATTACTTTAAAAATCATAAAATAGGAGGTTTTATGATTAATAATTAAAATTATTATATTTTATAGTAAGTTGAACAAAATTTAAAAAAATTCACGACCGTGATAGTCGAAATGACTGCGAAGGTCTCCATTATATCTGCAACCGTGACAAACACGATGCGACCGAAAACATGACTGCTACCGCAATTTAAATCCCTACTTCCCACCCAAAGATGTCTATGATAGTAGTCATTTTACAATGTTCTAAGATTATCATAGAATTCAGTTTATGATCTAGTTCTCCTTAAAAATATATGCAGGTGGTCTGCAATGCAAACAAACTTGCTAAGTTGGTGGAGAAGAGGAAAAGTAAGCAGAATTGGCTTGACTATTACCAACTGAAGTATTCCAGAAATAATGCGAAAAGGCCTTTTATGAAGGTACCTTACTGCAGTCTGTCATGGCTTTAAGAGCTGGTTTCTTGCCAATGTTCAGCTTTGCTTTATATTTCTTATTTCTTCATAAGCATATTCTCTCTCTACCAGACTGGTTTTCTAGGGCTCTGTGGTGAAAAAGTGGATGCTATTGATTATCGAATGTCTGAAATTGAGAAGCTATCCAAGGAAGTAAGTATTTTTTTTTCAACTTGCACATTCTTTTGAGATTGTTTGATTTACTTTTTATTCAATTCAAAATATTCAAGCCTGTTCTCATATGCTGCCTCCAAACCTCAGTCATTTTCTAGATTGACTTAATTTATTGAGCCTAAGCTTTTAAAATTATGTAGCAGCTTAGTTTAAGTATTGCTACAACAAAAAAATGCCAAAAGATGTTCTTGTTTCATATCTGACTCAATAGCTGTCTTTGTTTTATTAAATAATCCTACATTGAATATGAGTTGCTCTGCATTATTGCATTTTTCATCCTCCACTTAGTGTCTGTCAACTTGTGATGATGTGGTTGCTTATTTTCATATTCAGATAGCTGAAGAGAGAGAAAGGGTCACTAAAGATCCAAAATCCATAATGCCAGCAGCATTTGTTTCCTTTAAATCTCGATGGGGTGCAGCTGTGTGTGCTCAAACCCAACAATCCAGGAATCCTACTTTGTGGCTAACAGAGTGGGCACCCGAACCACGGGATGTATATTGGCAAAACCTGGCAATTCCATACGTCTCACTAGCAGTTAGGAGGCTGATCATGGCTGTAGCATTCTTCTTCCTGACTTTCTTTTTCATGATCCCAATAGCATCTGTACAAGCTCTGGCCAGCATTGAGGGCCTTGAGAAAGCAGCACCATTCCTGAAGCCCCTAATTGAAATGTGAATTCCTTTTTAATTTCAAAATATTGGTCATTATTTAGATCACGTTACCATAACCATTGATTTTGCCTTCCTTTTTCTGCAGAAAATTTATTAAATCAGTTATCCAAGGTTTTCTACCGGGTATTGTATTGAAGCTCTTTCTCATTTTTCTGCCTACAATACTGATGATTATGTCCAAGTTTGAAGGATTCACATCAATATCATCTTTAGAGAGGAGATCAGCTACCAGATACTATCTTTTCAATTTAGTGAATGTTTTCCTTGGCAGCATCATTGCTGGCAGTGCACTGGAACAGCTAGACACATTTATTAAGCAATCAGCAAATGAGTATGTATTCCTTGCATTTTCTTCTTTTTTTATCTGCTTTAACTGATGCAATTGCTGTTTATGCATTGGTGTCCTTGCATGCTTAGTTTCAGCTAATTGTGCTTTTGGTATAGACTTCCTTGACGGGTTCTAAAGGTATATAGTTTGATTTCTCCATCAAATTGGATGGATATGTTTACAAGTAAAAACATTTTCTAGTCAGACAGCTATCTCCGTTACAATTTAAGAGGGTAATTACATTATATGCATAAAATTGGGTTTCTAAATTGCAGGTGGTATGTAATTCCAGTTGATTAGAAGAAACCTTTGCTAGATTTCCAAAAATTTAATTGGTACAAGTGAAGATTTGTATCTTATGAAATCATTAGGGATTTTTCTTTTATGGACCTATATCTTGGACTAACTTTTAAGTTTACAATTGTTTCTACCATGTCTTTCAAAGGTTGGAACAATCTTATTTGTGGAGTTCTATATATATAGCTGCATAAGTGAGGAAACTACTAAATTTGGATTGCATTTATTGTTCTGCATTTGGTGTCAAAATTTACCTTCATTAGTAATAAACTGTTTTTTAATCTTCTTTCCTTCTTTGCAGAATTCCTAAAACAATTGGTGTAGCTGTACCAATGAGAGCAACTTTTTTCATTACTTATATCATGGTTGATGGATGGGCTGGAATAGCAGCAGAGATTTTGATGCTGAAACCACTTATAATTTACCACTTGAAGAATTTTTTCTTGGTGAAAACCGAAAAGGATAGGGAGGAGGCAATGGATCCAGGAAGTTTGGGCTTCAACACTGGAGAACCTCAAATACAACTCTATTTTCTACTTTGCCTGGTTTATGCTACTTGTGACACCTGCTTCTACTTCCTTTCATTATAGTTTCTTTTGCGCTAGGCTTATGTTGTCTTCCGTCATCAGGGTAAAGACTTAATGATGCTAATATTAGAGACAATGTAAATGAATCATTGTTAATGTTGTCTGATTTTTTTACCCTTTGAATGGTAAGATCATAATGTTTACAATCAAGAGTATGAGAGTTCTGCAGCATTCTGGCCTGATGTCCATGGACGCATTATAATTGCATTGCTTATCTCGCAAATCGCTCTCATTGGATTATTAAGTACAAAGAATGCTTCTGAGTCAACACCATTTCTCATTGCTCTTGTTGTCCTCACAATTTGGTTTTACAGATACTGCAAAGCCCGCTATGAACCCGCTTTTGTTAGAGACCCTTTACAGGTTTGTTGGTGTTTGCATATTAAAGTGATGGTTTCTTCACTGTTTTGAAGGATTCAATTCATAACAAGCTTTCTATCGCTGACCTTACTGTGTGATCCATTAATTTCTTTGTGCAATATCGTAATCTGCTATTCTCGTAACAATCAATATCATACCTTCAGGAAGCAATGAGGAAAGACACTTTGGAACGCGCAAGGGAGCCAAACCTCAATTTGAAACCTTATCTTCACAATGCATATGTCCATCCGGTTTTCAAAGAGGAGGAGGATGAAGAGGAATTTAACTACAAGTTAGAAAATGAGAGTGTGTTAGTACCCACGAAACGCCAATCTCGAAGGAACACACCAGTGCCTAGCAAAATTAGTGGTGCATCCTCACCATCGTTGCCAGAGGTGGTTCCTGAACTTTCGGAGACCTAACTTAGGTAACAACTGTGATTTGATGTTGTCAATATACTGTATATTTGACGCTGCAGTGTAAAGAGGGTAGCACTGTAAATTAAATGAACAAAATAGTGGAAGATGAGGCATCCAAGAGAATTGGTCTTTGAGACTCTCAGGAGAGAACAAGTTAGTGAATTTTGTGGCTATCAATGGAAAAAACTCCAATGTTAAGGCTTATTAGAGGATGATGGAGTAAATATTTTCAGAGTATTTGTTTGAGATTTCTTGTGATTTATTTCTAAAAGCAGACTAATTAATTTACTGTTGCGCAGTTAAAGGAATTTTTTTTTTTTTGGGCCAAAAGGAATTATTTCCATGGAGGTTTTTGACTAAACAAAAAGTAGTTAAAAAAAAAAAATCGGTGGTACGAATTTCCAATTTATCTTCAATTTAAGCACACCTTAAATCAATGTTTCTCACTGTTATGACAGCAGACTCCTTTCCCTAGCTAGTAAACAGGAAAGTAAAACAGATTAGTATAACAAATTATGTAAAGGAAGCAGATCATGGTTTGAAAATCCTGCATCAAAGTCCAACAATGTTGAGGAGGGTTTTGCATTGAAGGCCAAAGCTGAGGCTGAGGCTCGTGCATCCAAGTACTCCAATGGTGAGGCTGAGACTGAAGTGAAAATAGATTCTGCTGCTATCGTGAAAGACGTCCCCATGTCTTCCATTGCATAGTTGTTTCCAAATCTAACCATGCTTTGCTGCTGCATACTTCTTTTTCTTAACTCTTGAGCATTGATGATATGAGCATTGGTGGCCTGACCCGTTTCATTCAAAATTTGGACTTGTCTAGCCTCTTCATCAAAATTTTCAGAAGTCGTTTCTTCTTCAGAATCTTCAACCACGTTAGCAAACAATGCATTCTCAAAACGCAATGCCGGCAATGTTACTTCAATAAAATTATTTGAATTTGCAGCATAGCTCAATGCTTCAATATCTGATGCTAATACTGGTGTAGCTCCTTCAACTAAAGAATTCAGCTCTTTTTCAGGTGAACTGCTGAACCTCATCTTTTTTGGTCGTGGCTGATTATCAACTACAACAATTGCATGTTTATTTCTTATTGTACATAGAACATAATCACTCTACAAGATAAAAAAAGAAAAAGTTAAAGTAATTAGTACTGTCAAAATTACATAATATTCTCGTGATGATGAAAATAAAATCAGTAATTAAAATATAGAGCAAGTTAGCAATCAATGGTGTTAATATTGACAAAAAGCTAAACATGCAAAAATTATTGATAAAAAATGACTATGTACATAAACAAATCGAGATTTAAAAGAATCCCAAATTGCGAATAAATCACAAGCTAACCTTCAACAAAAAGCGCTTGGAAGAAGAAAGTCGATAAAAAGAAAAAAATAACCCAGCAAAAGTCTACTCTACTCCTGATCCTCCAACCGGAAAACCCAATCTAAAAACGCATAAACATCTACAAAAACTCAAAGGATAGATTGATATCTCCTCAAACAGCCAAACAGAAGATATGTTAAAAAAGAGAAGAGAAAGAGAGAGAGACACACACAGAGACAGGGAGAGAATAAAAGTAAAACCATTACCTTGCACATAAGAGCCCCAAATCGGTGAACCAAGCTGTTTCAATTTAAGAAAAACAGAAGTGCTAAAAAAAACCAACCAACCAAAGGAATTTGGAGACAAATAACAAAATCTCAGCATTGACACACAAAGCACTTGCAAGTTGCAATGCGTAGGTTTATCTTTTTATTACGGTATCCATAAATCAGTAGTCTTCTTTCTTTATCCATATATATATATATATATATATATATATATTGAACTGATTATCTTCTAAACCCTAACAACGAAAGAAAGCAAATATGGACACAAAACATTTGAACAAAAAAAGAAAACATCGTAACGAACAAGGTTAAAGGACTAGGAGAACATACTCGATCATTAAGAAGGGAAAACTCGTTCATCAGCCAATGCCCATTGTTGGCATTCTTGGTACCAGAAGTACTTTTAACTTCAAAGACAAAGAGTTTCTTGAAACCCACTTGATTGTTCTGAGAATCCTTAACAGGGTCGGTTCTCTGACCTTTCCAAGTCCCACAACCAGCTTTTCGTTCTATCCTTCTTCCCTTACCCTTCTTCTTCAGCTTGGTGAAGACATAGAACTTTTCAGATGAGGACTCACCAAAAATCTTCCATGGTTCCTTATCATTATCGCCGTAGATTTCCATGTCAATGACAGCCTCGGAAGATAATGGTTCACCTCTCACCTTCTTCAGGAGGTACTTTAGAACGAGCTCTTCGTCGGTCGGTAGAAAACGATAACCATCTGGAATTATCGTCATTGTTTGATAGGTTTCTTTGGAAACCATAATGGGGCTTCTCTCCAACAATTAATGGTTAATTTTTTTCTCTGATCTTCTGCTAGAACTTATAAAATAATTAAGAAACCAAAGTTAACCTAAGAAACTCATCTATATATATGTAGCCTCCCATGTCCCAGCTGAGGCGGTTTATAAAAGATTAATGCCCCCATACCCTCATTTGCTTATGCCTTGTTTGCCTACGACTCGTTACATATAATAATAATAAATATTTTTTGAGTAGATTCATAATTAGTAATTTAATTTAGGGGCATAATATTGAACTTACATTAGTGACAATTATTACTGTATATATTATATTATATATTAAAAATAACTTACATATATAATAAATGATTTTTTTATCTCATGGCTTAATTTAACTTAGAGTAATGCCCGCATTTAGAAAAAATTTCGCAAAATCGATCTGTTAATTAAAAATATTGAAAATAAAAAAAGGAAATATTAAATCCTTATAATTGGATTGGACGAGATGTTTTACTTAATTTTGAAAATTTTGAATAAACCCAAGTTTCATAATATTTAATATCAAAAAATAAAAAAATCATAAAAATTAATTTTAAAATATAAAAAATAAAAGTTTTAAATATTAAAAAAACATAATTTAAAACATCTAAAAATTAAAAAAAAATGAGACGAAAATAATAATTTATTTACTTCTAAGTTCGGAGTACTATAATAACAAGTTGGCATAGCAAAATTAAAGCCCAATGTAACTAATATTTTACTATCAAACTTATATTCATGGCAGTTAACTACAAAAAAATTCATGACATCTCTTTCAAAACAAGAAATTCATGACATCAAAAATTGATTAGACATGTCCATGATATCTAAACAAGTGTGGTAATATATAAGTTAGTGTAGATCATTAATCATGAGTTTGATATAGTATTTGAAATATAATAAATATATATTCTTTTTTAAATGAATTTCAATAAAAAAAATTTTTAGCCTATGAGGAGAATGTCAAAGCAACCTCCACATCACTACCACCTCTTCATTAATTATACCCAATACCACCTCATGAGCTTGCTCAACTGATTAATTACCAATATTAGTTATTGTTAATTTATTCATCACTACCACATCTTCGTTAATTAAGTTGGAATGGCCGTCAAAAAAAAATCATAATAAATAAAATTTATATAATGAATGGATGAAATATTGATAGATAAATTATATCTTAATTATATATAAATATATTATTTGTAAAATTAAATTAAGATATTAAATAATAACTTTACTAATGTAATACATACATATATATAAATATAAAGTGAAATAAATAATTTCAAAAATAATTTTTATATATTCGATGCAAGACTAAAGAAACTAAATTCGTCTCTAACCCAACTTCGATTTGAAAAGATGAAAAAAACCTTTACTAGATCTTGCTTTTTTAAAACCCCGCATATATTGGATTAGATCAAATTAAAACCCACAAGATATGAGTGATTTTTTAATTCATACATCCATTGACTCATTTTCTTATAAAATTTTTTGACTAAAACACAGTTAAAATTTTTTTAATAAAAATAAAGGAAATGGTAAAAAAAGAAAAGAAAAGGAAGTAAAATGGAGATAGTACATGGATTTATTAAATTAAAGTATTAAATAATAATTTTATTAATATAATACATATATATAAATATAAAATTAAATAAATAATATATATATATATATTTATATATATAGGATATGACAAATGACTTTAAACTCTCATTTGACTTGACTCCAATTTTTGAAAAACTTTGATCCAATCCAAATTATAAAAACTTATTAGATCCAGACAAATTAAATCGATATGAGTTATTATTGTCGATGCCTTAATTGATTTTTTTCAAAAATTTATTTATTGGTTTATTTTGATGCTAAATTTATATAATTTAAAAAATAAAAAAACAAAAAAAAAAGGAAAAACGAAATAGGATACTACTTATACACATTTCATTGACTTTTTTTGGTTTAAAAAATGATTTAATTTAAAAAAAAAAGAAAGGAAGAACAAAAAACAAAAAAATAAAATAGAAAATAAAGATGAAAAAAAATTGAGTTGCTAGGTGACATTAATAATGATGAATTTTTTTACAAAATTTATATCATGAACTTTTAAAAAAAAAATCCATAAAAAATAGAATTAGGAAAAAAAATCGAATTTGGATGCAATATGAATCCCTTTATTAATATCATTTTTTTAAAAATTATCAAATAAAAAAACAAAAAAAAATATTTTTAATCAACAATATGAAACGAAACTCATATAAAAAAATAAAATATACATTAAATATAAAAAAGAATAAATAAATAAATAAGAGAAAAGAGAAAGAAAAGAAAAAAAAATAATTTGAAATGTGGCATATCTTTGATATTAAATGTGTTTAACAGAAAAAATTAAATCTAAAATTTTTTATTAAATATATAAAAAATTAAAAAAAATGCAGTATACCTTCGAAATCAAGTGCATACCACACAAGTTAAAATTGAAATAAAGATTTAGTAAACAATTTTTTTTAAAAAAAAAATAAGTAGAAAAAAATGACATTAAGTAGGTCTTACAAGCAAAAAATTAAAAAAAAATATTTATTAAATATAAAAATTATTAAATAAAAAAAAAGATAATGTTACTTGACCCCTTAGCTATACATTACCAAAATTTTACCCAAATTTATTTTTTAGATTTTGTTATATTGGTTAAAAAGGTATTAATATTTGGATTTTTATTTAGTATGTAGTTCAATTTCTTTACAACCTCCTGTATTGACTCTTGTGCTTTTTCATTGGCTTAGCGGCGTCCACGTGGTATCTATGCGAGCTACGTGGAAGCCACGTACTTGCATGTGTTCTTTTCTTTTTAAGAGTTTTATTCTAAGTAGAAATATGAATTGACACGTGTGCCTCAGTCTTTCATTGCAGTTATATGTGGTGGGCCCACGATATACGACCGTTTTCGTAATCGCGAGATTTTCTTGATTTATTATTTATTGCTTTTAATATTTGTTGACTTGTATACTTGACCTATCTATTCAAATCATCCTTATTTCAAAAAAAAAAAAAAAATCAAAGAAAATCATACATTAAAGAAGAATAATAATAAAGAAAAAAATAAAGTCTGACGTGTCAAATGTTTCACCAAATCCAAAGTAATTAGAAATTTGCCGAGACAAATTAAGTTAAGTATTTTTTTATTAATTATTATTATTAAAAAGGGGCGAGGAATTTCCATTCCAACGCAAACTAGAAGTCAGCGAGTCTGACGTGTCAAATGTTTCACCAAATCCAAAGTAATTAGAAATTTCCTGAGACAAATTAAGTTAAGTATTTTTTTATTAATTATTATTATTAAAAAAGGGCGAGGAATTTCCATTCCAACGCAAACAAGAAGTCAGCGGAGGTCCAAACTCTTAGTCCGGACCTAGAGTCCGAGGCCCAGCAAAGCAAAACCGACCTTTTGGTTTGACTGCCCGCTCCTCCTCCATGTATAAACACGTACATCTAACGCACCTTCGGAGTACTCGCTTAGCTGATCGCCTTTTCTTTCTTACGATTCCGATTTCTCATTCTTTTTGTTTTAAATTGCATCTCTTTCAAAGAGATTTTTGGTTATATATTATAAATAAAATTAATCAATTCTACTCCCAAGAATTTACTTAAATCCCAGTCCGCGCATGTTTTTCTTTTCTTTTTATGCCAGCGATCGGGTTAGTCTCGGACTCTTCACTCTTGATTCGTATTTTCCATTTAAACAATCTCAATTCTTCTTTATTTTGCCATATTGTTATCGGCTTTTTGAAGTTTTCTTTTTGTTTGTAATGATTTGCGGCCTGAAGAAGATTCGCAGTGAATTTGTTTATGTTCGAATTCATATTAATTTTCTGTATTTTGATGAAAATCGTAGTTCATGTGGATATTTCTTGTTAATTATATCTTGGGTGTGTTGAGAATAATTCAGTTGAGTTGACTTGAGTCAATGCAGGTGGTTCCAGTATCTGCTTTTGTTTTATTTCAAAGGCTCATAGATTGATTTGAGCTTTTTTTTTATATATAAATTTAATTCTCCATACAATGTATAGCTATATAATGCAGGAATTTTGGCTTAATAATCACAATGAATCCATGACTAAGTTTGTTAAGTTTATATAGTAAGAAGGTCTTTGCTGGATTCTGATAAAGTATAATCTAGACTTTGTTATCTGAGTGAGGATCTTTCTCATTTTTGCAGCGAAAATGGCAGAGGTAATTGCTAAGCTCGAGCGGTGTCATACTGGTCAAAGCATGCAGAGAGCCTTAAGTTCATGGCATGTGACAAAGAAAAGAAATCCCATGATAGTGCAATGTGAAAATAAAAGGAAGGGCAATGCAGGGCAATTGTCAACAAATCCATCAAAGAAACGGAAGCTAAGTAAAGAAATTGAGTTCTTAGAGGATGAGAAAATTCCTAAGAGGCATTGGAATGGAATAGACAAGAAGATAACTACTTCTTCAGTGGAAGATATATTAGATGAATGGGACGAGGAAGCTGTTGCGTTTATGAACATTAAATCACGGAGCAAAAGCAGAAATTTGCACAGTGTGATGATAAAAGGAAGCCCTAAGGAGACTAAGAAGAAAAACTGTGATCCCATTGATACCTCATTGTGTTCTTCATCATCTTTGTTATCATCATCTTCAGGCTCACCAATTTCACATTTGAAAAGTGATAGTAGCGGCACTGATAGATGCACAATGAAAAATGTTAAGGTATTTTACTTCTTTTTAACTCTACAACTGAAATTTCTCTTTTCTTGGGTTTTATTACCCCTCAAATGCAAGGATTATTGAATTTCATCTTTATTTTTCTTACTAACAATTATGAGAAATCTTTCTTTAATCAGGCCAAAAGAAAAAATTTCAAGTGTCATCAGTGTATGACTGAAAGGAGAACCGTTGTCCCATGCATGAAATGTAAAGACAAAGTGTACTGTATCCATTGTGTCAGAAAATGGTGACATTCTCAACCTAATGGGCTTCAATTTTTTTATTTTTAATAAAAATCTTTCTCATTTTTTTTCTACCGTGATGCGTATAGGTATCCCAATATACCAGAAGAAGAAATTGCAAAACAGTGCCCGTTTTGTTGTAGGAATTGCAACTGCAGCATCTGTTTGCACTCAAGTGGGTTAATTAAGGTCTGTTTTTTCTTTAAGTAACCAGATTTAAATTATGTAATGCCCTCAGGTTTATTCTTTTGGATAAACTGTCTATTTAATTGGTATGGTAAACAGCTGTTGGCGCAGAATACTAGTGTTCCGGCATAGAATGCATAGAAAGGATATTGATCTTTTGGTACAGATTTCATTAGGGTGGTGCTTAGCATGAAATTTAATGTCTTTGCTTCTGAGCTTGTTAATTTTGATTAAATTTTTCATTAGCATGGGGCCATGCAAATACCAATAAAATTGTCACCTAATAATTATCTTTCTGCCTAATCTACAGACATCAAAGAGGGATATCACTGATCAAGAAAAGATTAAGCATCTGGAACACTTGATTGAGTCAATGCTTCCCTTTCTGAAACAAATTTGCAGAATACAAAAGCAGGAGACAGAGGTTGAGGCTGACATTCGAGGTATTCTTTTTCTCAAACATTGGCTGCTAGCTCTCTGTGAATATTCAATTATTTCCTGACAAAAGGTTCTCTGTTTAGGGTTGCTACCTTCTGCACTTGAAATACCAGAGACTCTTTGTTGTAATGACGAGCGTGTCTATTGGTAAACGTTTCTCTCTATGTAAGCATACAGTTTATCATGTTCTTGTATCTGTTATTCACAAGTTCTCATTGACCATCTCTCTGCTCCCGATTTGTTGTCTCTTTGGAACAGTAACCACTGTGCAACTTCAATCTTTGACCTTCATCGTAGCTGCCCAAAATGTTCATATGAACTTTGTCTTAGTTGTTGTCAAGAAATTCGGGAGGGAAGCCTTTCTAGCCGTGATGACGTTGCACATCAATACAGGAACAGGGGTTACGATTATATTCATGGCGGAGACCCTTTACCAGAATCTTATCTTCATGAAACAGCTAAGGATCGGGCTAAGCAATCAATTCAGTGGAAGGCCAATAATGATGGAAATGTTACTTGTCCTCCAAAAGAAATGGGTGGTTGTGGTGATTGTATATTGGAGCTTAAACGAATCCTTCCAATGGGCTGGATTTCAAATTTAGAAGCAAAGGCTGGGGACATGTTGAGCACCTGCAGAGCTAGGCAAGGAATATTGAAGCATGAACGTGCTGTACCAGGAAGAGAGACGTTACAGAGGGTGGCTTCTAGAGAAGGGTCTAATGACAATTTCTTATATTCTCCAACTTCAAATGACAATCAAGAGGAAGATCTTTGTCACTTTCAAATGCACTGGGCTAAAGGTGAACCAGTTATAGTTCGGAATACTCTTGCAAATTCAACTGGTTTAAGTTGGGAACCAATGGTAATGTGGCGTGCTTTATGTGAAAATGGGGATTCAAAAATTAGTTTGGAGATGTCTGAAGTTAAGGCTATTGATTGTCTTGCTGGCTGTGAGGTTAGTTCTGTTCCCCCATTTTAGATTTTAGACCACTTTCCTTTTCTTTCTTCAATCATTCTTTTCATGTTACATTATGTTTGAAGTCTGATTTTGTCATGATATACAGGTGGAGATAAATACTCACCAATTTTTCAAAGGTTATATTGAAGGGAGAAGGTATGATAACTTCTGGCCCGAGATGCTAAAGTTAAAGGACTGGCCCCCATCTAACAAGTTTGAGGATCTTTTGCCTCGGCATTGTGATGAGTTTATAAGTGCATTGCCTTTTCAAGAATACAGTGATCCTAGGTCTGGTATCATCAACCTTGCTGTGAAGTTGCCACCAGGTGTCCTGAATGTAGATTTGGGCCCAAAAACATATATTGCTTATGGGATTGCAGAGGAGCTTGGAAGAGGGGACTCCGTGACTAAGCTTCATTGTGATCTTTCAGATGCGGTATGCCTTAATAGCCACAAGATCTAGCAGCCTAAGATTATATTCACTATTTTTTGTTTTATCATGCACATATATTTACACGGTAATCATAAGAATTCAGTCAGCTTCCTTTGTGATGTAATTCCTTTCCCTGTTATCGAAATTAATGGTCTAGCTTTTAATCCATCCAAAATGACTTGCTGAGTCAGTAAATGATGAAAGAAGCTTGCCTCAGTGTCATTTGGAGTTTGCATGTGTTGGAAACAATTTGAATTTCCTTCTTTTGATTAAATTTCAAACATCCATTGTTGGTTTATATACAATGTTTAAACGAAGTAGTATGAGGGTGCAAAATGTTGGGATTGTTCAGATATAGGAATATGCAGCTTGATGGTTTTCTAAGAACTTCACATACTGAGTCATCTATTACATCTCTTCGTACACTGCCTTGTTTTCTATATCATGCGACTACTTGTTATAATCCACTGACCTTTTTTTTATTGTCAATTGGTGTAGGTAAACATTTTGACTCATACTGCAGATGTAGCCTTAAGTGGGGAGCAGCTTACTGCAATGGAAAAGTTGAAGATGAAGCATAAGGCACAGGATGAAAAGGAACATTTAGAGAGAGAGAGAGTCCATCTAATTAAAGAAGGCCTTGATGGAGAAAGGAGTGATCCAAAAAATAAGATGGATGTTGTGGAAATCACTGACCAGAAAGATAACTACTCGGATAATGTACTTGATGTTTCCAGAGATGAGCTTGGAGCTAGAAGTCCTGGCCCATCCACCGGGGGAAAGGAGACAGGTGGTGCCCTGTGGGATATTTTTAGGAGGGAGGATGTTCCGAAACTGGAAGCTTATCTTAGGAAGCACTCTAAAGAATTCAGGCATACCTATTGCTCCCCAGTTGAAGAGGTAATTCCATAAGCATTGAACGTTTCCTTTTGTTCACAGTTGTTACCCTTAAGAGGGTTGAGATCTCCTTTTAACCCTTCCTTAAATGCATTGAAAGAAACACTTTTGAGTTAAATTTGCTCTAACATTCTTGATGGTTGCATTTTGATCAGGTAATCCATCCAATTCATGACCAATCATTTTACCTAACTGTGGAGCACAAAAGGAGACTAAAGGAGGAATTTGGTTAGTACAAGGAATGCGCCTCAATGTTTAATATAAAAACTTCAAGGTTCCTCATGTAAGCGTTTTGTGCTGTCTAGGAGTTGAACCGTGGACGTTTGAGCAAAACCTTGGAGAGGCTGTTTTTATTCCTGCTGGATGTCCACACCAAGTTAGAAATCTGAAGGTATTAATACATTCATCCTCATTATATGCTCTTTATACAACTCTATTTGTGGTCTCTCATCATTGTGTTTCTGCAGTCATGCACCAAAGTTGCCATGGACTTCGTGTCTCCTGAGAATATCAAGGAGTGTCTCCGATTAACTGAGGAGTTCCGCCAACTACCTAAGAACCATAGAGCCAGAGAAGACAAACTTGAGGTAACATCCTCTCATTGATGTTTTGACAATTTGTTGTCTTTGTTTTTTCATTTCTTGCCAAACCTTATTTCCACACTGACTCGTGTAAACAGATCAAGAAAATGATAATTTATGGAATAGAACGAGCTCTTAAAGAATTAGCAGAACTGATATCAACTTCAAATTGAGCCCTTTGAAAGCTTCTCCAACTGCAACAATAGAACCGGCCTTTGTGTAGTTCGAGTAACAAAGACTATCTGGGTTGGCTACTAGCTTTTGTAAATTCATGGATACGAGCAAGTATCTTTGTTTTGCCTCGGGGTTTAACTTTTGGAATATTCAAGCCTCGAGGCAGCCTCAGTTGGAATTTTTCTGACACTTTTCAATAAATACTATCAATTCTCTCTTTTCCATCCTTACTACTATAACTATTTATTTACTGTTTCATCATTATGTAGCCTGATCTCTCTTGCGCAATTGCTACAATTGCAAAGCATTGTAACTTATATCAAATGAATAGAAATTGAATCTGTCCAAAATATAAACGAATAGAAATTGAATCTATCTACAAATTGTTCATCTAATACTTTATTAATTAGTTTTTCACAAATAAATCAAATATGAATATAAACGAATTAAATATAAATAATTTTTTTTTATATTCGTGATTTGTTCTTTTGGTTTACTAATTTTAAAATATTATTTATAATTATTTGTTAAGTTTAATAAATAAATATAAATGAATAAAATTGAACACATTATAAATTATTTGTTAAACGTTTTGTTTGTTACACCGTTACCTGAAACTTCAAAATAACAGCTGAAATAGCAAGCAAAGATTTATGGTGTCATAAATTGTTAACTATCTAAAACAACTTTTTAATCTATTAACTATTAATGTCTATTATTTATAGTGAAATTTTTTATCTTCACATATGAATTTATAGGATTATTTAAGAATTATGATTGAATTTTTTAAAATAATTTGTTTATAAAATTTAAAAACTCACTCTTTTATCCTATTAAAAATGATATAATAACATTATGAAAGAATATTAGAAACAAAGGAATTTTTTTCTAAAAAGGAAAATACTATGGCATTGTTGAATCAAACATCAAACAAAGTATGTATATAAAAAAAACCAATGGAGCCATCCATCATTTTATTTTCTTTTTGGTTTTATTTTTTAGCTTTTATGCAAAAAAAAAAAAAAATATTGCAATAACATGATGAGGAAACAAGCAAGTGCTTAAAAATGAATAGTCTTGATTTTCACAAAGCGATTAAATCATAAAATTTGTTTTTGATAGAATTACATTTATATGTACCAATAAAAATTAAAATTATAATCAAATAATTTTTAATATATATAAAAAATAAATCAACAAACAAATCAAATCAATAAATTATTAAATAATTAAATAAAACTCACACTTGATGAGAGTTAAACTCAAATTTAAAAATTTAAACATATAATACAAATATGACATGATATAAACACAATGACACAATAATTTTTAAAAAATAATAATATGAATATAGGAAGACATAATAATAAAAATATATATTTTAAATTATTATAATCAATTAAAAATATATGGTAGACGTTGAGCTCATTTTTAAAAGGTAATTATTTTTGTAAAGAAAAGTTGATAAACATGTCAATAAAAGAACAAAGAGTGCCATTGCTCGCATAAAAAATTTTTTTTATTGTATCCAATTAAATTTGATATTATTTCGACACGTCAAAAGTATCAAAATATCAAACACATAGAAGTTGGGTACATGAAGAGATCAGACATGTCTTCATAGCTAAAAATTCCAATACCTCTTCTTAACAAAGAGTAACAAATTTAATGTTCTACCTTTCCTTAATTAAGGATATCTAATTATATTTTTAATCCAAAAATTACAAATTCCTCACATCTTTTCATGATTCATCATAAAAATTTATAATCTAAAAATAAGTTGGAAAGAAATCAAAATCATGAAAACAATATAAAAAATACAAACCATGCAAGTAAAATTTTTTTAAGAGGGCAATCAGATGGAACTTTCCTTGCAACATTTTCAACAAGAATTACGTAAAGCACTCCAGGCAATGACAATACTATTATCTATTGCCTCCTCAACTCCCCATGAAAAAAGATCTAAGATCTATATTCCCAGTCTCCAACCCCTCTTCTAGGCTTTAACGTACAAAATAATAGGTTGTGAAGGGCTTTTTATATGCTAATTAATTAGGGTTTTATGGTTGAGATGATAAAATTATCCTTCCTCTAGAATCCTAACAAGAATAGATTTGTTTACTAAAAATAAAGAATAGATTTGTTTGAATTAGTCCTTGAATAAGAGTGTGATGCAAGTACTTGATATTTATTAAAAAGAAAACATACCCATATCATTAATAAGTCAATAAATTTTTTTGGTAAAATTCCTTTTTTATTATTTAAAAAATAATAAAAGTTTTTATTGTTTATTCAATAATGATGATGCATTTTCAATCAATTTTAAAATTAAAATTTGTTCAAATTATTTTTTTATTAATTTTTTTGTTACAAAGAAATGTTAGTGCCCTTACAAAAGAGGAGGGGAGATGACAAGATAAAACTCACGTCTACGTGACTATCAACCAACCTCTTAACTATTAAGCTAAGAAAAAAGTTTTTTTTAATTAATTTTTATTTATTTTCAAACTCATTCTAAAGTTATTAAAATTTCTTATAAATTTAATTACAATGTACTATTCTCTTCCTTTGCAAGTGTATACATAGTTCCTACCACTTTTTCTGTTACCAAAGTTTGTAACAACTAAGATGCTAATCCTAGTTGGTCAACCATAACTTTCAAAAGAAAAATCATTCAAAGTTACATTGACGAGATTTCTATAAACAATTAGTTTTAAACTCGTGGGATGCATAAAAATATATTTATATATTAATAAATTTTATATAAATATAAAATTTTTAAAATGATAATATAAACTATGAAGTTTATGAACAGCTCGTAATTTATATAATCATTTTTATTTAAATTTATATATTTTAATAAAATAAAATAAATTAATTACATATTGAATATACTTATGAAATTATCATCAGTTCTAAAGTGAATTTAAACTATAATTTATTAAATCCAAATAATCTCCAAATAAAAGATAATAATGTTTTCGATTTCAAGAAATTAAAAATTCCATTCTTAAAATCAATATTGCAAACAAATTTTTTTTATGAGAAGTTCTTCCATAAGTTGTTGTTGAAGCAAAGATGCAATAATTGTTTCTCTAGTATTTCTTGCTATCTTTGAAGTAGATGTCATTTTATTTTATGAGCCAATAGATTTCATAGATAGAGGTGAAGAGATAGATAAAACAACAATCTATAATTTAACAACAGTTGAGTTATAATATAGACTATATAACTTTATAATAAACATAATCATTATAATAAGTTTATATTTATCTCTTTCAATAATTTTTGACATTCAAGCTTAGGATTATAATCATACACATTATTCACTGTAAGTTTGGTACTAGTCTCAATATTATACTTGATTGTTCTCGTCTCGAATACATAAATTTTATTTAAAAAATCTTCAAATATCTCTTGGATTTTATAATCTCCATTTTCTTAAATCATAAGTATGAATATATCATTCAATTAATTTGAATATTAAATAATATTAAAATAATTTTTAACTCAATACCTTAATAGATATTTCATAAAGATCGTTAATATCTCTATTAATTAAATCCTTAATTTATGTATTGAACTGTATGAACATCGCACTTCCAAAATCATCATATGCCTTAATATTCAAATTATATTTATAAAAAATACAAAATTCTACAATTATAAATATAACATAATAATTTAACTTAAGATGTAACATTCCAATAATTTGGTAGGATAAAATATAAAATACTTTATTAACAATTATTTTTTATGAAAATTAATTTATGAAATTCTCCGATAGTTTAGTAAAACTCATAAAAAATTAAATTCATGAAAGAACCTCTAATAGTTTGGTAAGACTCATAAATTCGTTTTTAGAAATATTTTTTACTTTTTATTTTTATTTTTAAAAATTTTTTTATTATTATTTTTTAAAAAAATTATAAAAGTATTTAAAATAAATCATTTAATTTAAAACAATTAAAATAAAAAATCTAAAAAATAAAATGAAATAGAGAATAAAGAAAAATATATAAAAATAAAATAAATAAAAATGTAAATTGAAAAATGAAATTAAAAAAAAAAAACCTGTGATCGGGTTGAGTCAAACGTGTGGGTCATGCGCGAGTCAACGAGTTGACGTGAGGATTCTAGACTGGCTGAAACGGTGTCATTTGGCACTAGTATAAAAACCAAACTTCCTTGCTTATCCTTATAAGCCTTATGTCTTCTTTCTCTCTAGCTAGAGTTTGTTGTATCCTCTCTCTAAAAAATCCAAAAACAAGTTTATGGAAACTAGGTAATTGGTCGATTTCTGAAAAATGTCATCGAAATTTGGTCAAAAAATTTAAACTCCACAAAAAAATCCAACCGAAAAATTTAAACATTTAACTCAAAACCTAGTTTTTTCAATTTTTCTTAGATTTTTTTAGATTTTTCCAAAAATTCAGCCTAAACCCAAAAACTTCAAATTCTCAAACTTCTAACCTAGAATCTGTAAACCCAGAAATTCAAAACCTAAAGATTCTAAACCCAGAAACTTTAAACCAGAGTCTTTTCTCCAAAAATCAACTCCTCCATTTTTTATGTGATCTTGTGTCTAATTTATAGTCAATCTTAGCACCAATTTTAGGATTTGAACATAACCATTCCAGGTTTAAATCCTGGGATTGGATTCTATCCAATGAGATTTAAGTCTAGGTTTTTGCAAATTTGTCTAATTGATTTGATTTTGACTTGTGAATCCTTTCATTTGATTGCATGTAGATTTGAATCCCTTTGATCATGTGACTTTGATAAGTCAAAAAAGGAAATAATAATAATAATAATAATAATAATAAATAAATAAATAAATAAATAGTTGACCTAGACATAGATGGGTGTCTATAATTTAAAATATTTGTATTATCATCATGGAATAATAATTTTTTTATGTATCAAATATAAAAATATAAATACAAACTACCATGGAGTTGGATTAGGGACATCAACCTTGCAAGAATAATATTGAAATTTCGCATCAATTGCAAATAGTTTCTTCTTACACCCACATGACTTATAGTACCAACCAAAAGTGATATCAACTTTTATGATAGTGACTCTACTGGTTAAAGACTTTCCCCACATATACTCAATTATCTTTAAATTAATCATCAACAAAAAAAATAAAAAAAGAAAGTTAATATCTTAGTTAAAGAAATATAAAATATAAGTATAAAAAGAGAATAACATTTAAGCAACACAGAAGCAAGAAAGGATGCAAAATGAAAATTAGAGAGAAAATTGAAGAAAAATTGAGTAGTGATCAAAATATATAAAATTAGTGAAAAGTAATTAAAAATGCATTATGCTTAACCTAAAACTACTTATACAAAAGG